ACCTTAGAATCAAAACATGTGCTTAGGATGATAGGGGAGCTCTAAAGGAGAGATCTGACCCCCCTGCAGTGCCTAGCACCAGACTTTGTTACACACGGGGGATAGCACTCCCATCATGTTTAGGCCAAGTTTGGGTTTTCTTTTATATGTCACTGAATCTAGCCTTAATAGATAGGACAGTGACAATAATTTTGTTGTATAAATTCCTCATGCTCTCCTGCTTCATTTGGGAATGCAAGTTAATTTTCATGTGGATAAGTGAACGATAAAGTAAGGTTCAGTTTACCAAAATGTCCCAGTTTTCTTCGTGGTACAACAACTTCAGAAAATGAGGAAGGAAATGTTTTACAGTAACCAAAAACATAGGATGAGTCTATATGTATAAATTTAACATTCTTCACGACCAGAATATGGTTGTGAAAATGAGGTGACCGGGATGCCACAAGCTGGATTTTCCGATAGTAGGTGGAGATCCTAAGATCAGAGCTAAAAATAGGCATAAAATTCAACAAATGTCATATGTTAACATCGGAAACAGAGAGGAGTTAAATTGTGTTGACCTGTTAAATCATCCAATAGTGATTTTTCCACTGACATCTTTTTAAAAAAATTTATATTTTTATAATTCCTAAAAAGATACACTAATAACACCTCTATATATGGGGGCATCATGCCATCAAGATATAAAAGATTTCTGTGAAAAACAGCTGAATCCTTCACCAACTGGGAAATTCCGTAATGATAGTTCAAAGAACTATATTCAGGCCAATTCATGATGTCAATTCTGAAGTCTCATTAAGTAACTGTTGCTTTTTTTAAAAAAAGACATTACCATTGAATGAATATTAGTTTCCGTGATTTCTTTTCCCCAAAAGTTCTAATTCTAAAGTACACACTTGCTTTTGTTTTCACTGACTACTTCAAGGGATAGCATACAGCATTTTTTTAAAAGTGGAAAGCGTCTTGCCTTTCAAGTGAAAAAAATAACATTTTTATGATTTGAGTTTATGATCATTAGCTAATAAAACAGAATAGTCACCTCAATGTCCAATACATACAACATTCTGACTTTTCGTGTGAGTCTCTTGTATGTCAGTTAAAATATTTTAAGCTGCGAATAAAACTTTCAAGTATTTTAACCAACTAGGAAATATATTTGTTGGCATTACAACAGGCCCGGAAGCCAGGTAACTCCTGGGGTTATTTGGTTTATTGACAGATCATCAGGCAAGCAGTTTTCTCCATCTTTCATCCTGCCCTTCTTGGTGAATCACTTTGTTCCGGATCAGATTCTTTGATTATTTCAAAATGGCGGCACCAATTCCAGCATCATATCCACATACCACAACTCGTGTCTTCTAGTGCTTGTTTCTTAGGAGTGGGCAAAAATCTTTCCTAGAAGCCCAGTACATTTAACTAAAGGTTTTAGTGGCCAGAACGGAGTCACGGGCTCCTGTGAAAATCATTCACAGAAAAGGAGAACAGAACCCCACCTAGGTCTTAGTCCCATCAGAAAAAGCCCCTGCCACTGAGCCTGGCCTGCCCTGAAGATGAAGTGAGGAGGCCCTGAAACCCCACCCCCCCAAAAAAAGAGAGAGAGAGAGGAAAACTGATGCTGTACAGGCAACCCACACGGCTGTATTTCAGATCCCTCTCTCCCCGCACTCCCTACCACTGATCTTCTACTGGTCTCTTTTACTCTTCGTTTGCATTAATGCAGTTTGTGTTTCATTTCTGTTACTGCAATCTGTTGGCCTAGAGATCACTTCTGCATTCTCTCTCTCTCTTTTTTTTTCCTTTAAGGCTTTTAAATTTATTTATTTGATACAGAGAGAGACAGCGATGAGGAACACAAGTAGGGGGAGTGGAAGAGGGAGAAGCAGGCTTCCCACTGGGCAGAGAGCCTGATGTGGGGCTCAATCCCAGGACCCTGGGGTAGTGACCTGAGCTGAAGGCAGACGCTTAACAACTGAGCCACCCAGGCTCCCCTCACTTCTGCATTCTCTTGCAAGATAGAGTCCTTCATTCCCATGATATGGGACCCATATCATCGTTGCTTGCCCAGCCCATTCTAATTGTTTCTTGAATAAATTACTGAAATGTTCAGGTGTGGGCAGAGTTGTCAGATAAAATACAGTATACTCTGTTATACTCAAATTTCATATAAGCAACACTTTCTATATATAACTATGTCCCAAATATTGCACGAGATGTGCCCAATACTAAAAACTTACTCAAAGAAATTAAAACTTAAAAGCAAATCTTGTATTTTTATCCGCTAAATCTGGCAGTTGTAGGCCTTGGGGGCTCTTTCTCCAGGAGGTCCACGTAGTTACATGGTTTTATGCCCACTCACCCTCCATTTCCTGCTCTACCCCTATACTCAGCTCTGGTAGTAGGCACTGACCCAAGGATGGGTCAGGAATTGACCCATTTCCTTGACTCTAGTGATCAGTGAATGGATGGGTAAGTTGTCTAAGTCATACCAATTAAACAATGACCTTGGATTATTTTATTTACGGTTATTAGGAAAGAGAAATTCCCTCTATTAAGCTTGAAACTGTCAGTATATGACACGGACGCTGCCTGGGACTAGCGTGGGGAGAGCTCCTGATCTATGTTTAATGCAAGAAGAGGAAAGTGAAGATTAGTAATGGGGAGAAAAAATTATGCTCTGATGACAACTTTGAGCCACTGAATTCAACAATTCCTGAAACCTTGGTCTTCTCAGTTTCATGAGTACACAAACTATTGCCGCTTCATTTTCTTACAACTGAATTTTGCTTAAGACGGTTTTATGTTAGTTCCTAACAACTGAAACTAAAAGAGCCCTGATGAATAAACCCATCTATGCCCTTCCTGTGACAGTTATCAATTGTCCTCATCTTCCTTCCCGCTGTTCTTTATTTTTACTTTTTATTTTTTTAAAGACTTTATTTATTTATTTGACACAGAGAGAGATCACAAGTAGGCAGAAAGGCAGGCAGAGAGAGAGGGGGGGAAGCAGGCTCCCCGCCGAGCAGAGAGCCCGATGCGGGGCCCGATCCCAGGACCCTGGGTTCATGACCTGAGCTGAAGGCAGAGGCTTTAACCCACTGAGCCACCCAGGCGCCACCCCACTCTTCTTTAATAAACTATCCTTGGGCTATGTAGTCCTCTGAAAAGGTTGACATGTTCTCTTTAATCTCCCAAATTAATTATTTTATTCTCTTTATCTCATTTGAAATGAAGGGCTTTACTACTAGTGATCTGTTTCTTCATGTGTTTCTTCTGTTGCTTTTATTCAGCTAAAACTATAAACTTAACTTTGAAGGACAGCACAGTTTTTCATTTCCAAATATTATCCCTCTATATAATGAATAGCGTTTTAATTAACATCTCTCCTCTTCTTGACTAAATTATATTCCTTCTTACTCCTGGATTTTGTAGATGACCTTTCCGAAATCCAAGAGTAGAGGAAGGAGTCCCTACATTCGATGTACTATAGCATGTTCTAGTAATCTGACACTGCTAGAAGTTAACGTTTTCTACGTAAGCTCAACTGCATAATGGAGAGAGAGAATTCCATTTCATAGCTGCCAAGTTCAAAGCTCAAATTATGTTCATCTGTTGTCTCCTAGGTGCCACTTTGTTAAAGGTAAAGAGATTTCTTCATTTCAGACTTTCCCAGAAACTCTATTTGAGCACACTAAACTTTTTCCAAAGGGATATGGAGTGATTTAATAAAAACTAAACAAATCATTATAGCCAGATTACAAATATTAACATTTGCCATACATTCTTTCCACTAAATATTTAAAGAACAGGGCATGGACTTGCGCTGTTCTAAGCACTGGGAGGACAGCAACAGACCAGGCGTGGAGCTGGTCCACACTGACCTTGCATTCTAGTGATAAGAGAGATGAAGCAGGGTAAGGAGAACGAAACAGGATGAGGGGAGTAAGACAGACATAGGGAAGGCACAGTTTTAGATAAGGTATTCAGAAGACGGTAGAAACTGGACAGAGATCTTGTAAAGTGATAGAATGAGCCACATGAATATCAATATTATGTTTGTGGGAGGTAAATATACACTTTTAATAAATATATGTAAACTTTTCATTTATATTTATATCATAGATCTTTTAGAATGAGGTTATGTGGTAGAATACCAAGAGAATCCAAATAAATTCAGGCAGACTAAAATGGCCCCCCAAAGTCCCAGGGAACCTGTGAATATAACGGGGTATCAATCCTATAATTATGTTACGTGCACAGCTGATTATAAGATAAAGGTATCATTCAGAGGGGTCTGATCTCATCTCATGAGTCATTAAAAGCACAAAACCTTCCCTGACTGGTTGCAGAAGAGAAGGTCAAAAATGTGCACTATGAAAAGGAAATGTTGTGCCATTATTGGATTTGAAGATGGATGGGACCTGTGCAAGGACCAGAGAGAGGTTTCTAGTTGCTAACAGTGAGCCCTAGCCAACAGCTTGTGGGGAAATGGGGAGCTCACTCCCACAACAACAAGAACCTGAATTCTGCAAACAGCAGGAATGAATTTGGAAGCAGATTCTTTCCTAGAGCCTCCAGACAGGAGTTCAACCTGGTTAAACCTTGATTTTGGCCTCATGATAGCTAAGCATCGAACCCAGTCCACTCACCTTGGACTCTGATCTACCAAACTGTGAGTTAGTAAATGAATTCTTGGTGATTTGTTATTCAACAGTAGAAAACTAATACAAAGAGAACAGAGCTCTAGGCCCAGCTCTGCTGTGCTCTATCGGTAATGATTTGGGAAAGATGCCACTTATCTGGGCCTCAGTTTCCTTATCTATAAAATAAATGGGTGGTGCTAGAGGATCCCTAAAATCTTCTTCCTGCCTAAAGTTCCATAATTAATCACTGGGCCATGATTTTACTGTTTTAGATGATTCAAGTTGCTTTCTTGATCACAAGGGATTGATCATTCTTATAATTAACTTGTTGCTAGATCCTTGGTCAAGGATATGATTCACAATTAAAACATGTCACATGGAAAAATGTGCTACACTGTGAGATGAACTGCACTATGATGTAAATACTGAGTGACAATGTAGAAGTCTAGCAATTTATTACAATAAGACACAATCTTCTCATTTACTGTTTAAACTGGTAAAAAAAGATACTACACCTGATCTTAGCCAAAATGCTGAGAAGTGATTTGTTTACCATTTAAATAAGAGCACAAAGTGATCATAAAGTCTGGAGGCATAGAAAAATGTATATAATGTCATCAAGGACATCTTCAGTTTCTTCCCGGAAAAATAAAGTATTATCTATGTTTCCAGATTTTATAGACAACCTATAAAAGGTTTAGTAAATGTGACATTTAGATTATTTACACATCTACAACACCAACCAGAATTTATTATAAGTGACTAAAAATTCACTTTGATAAGGATTTGGTTTTGCTAAGAACATATGGTAGTTTAGAAACTTGCCTTTTTATTGTTTTGTAATAAAATTTTACTATGCTATCACCAATAAATTTTTACCAAAGTTTCAAAAACATGGAATTAAACGTGCATATTACCCATAAAATGAAAATGCTAAAGTGGTCATCTACATTTTTTTAATCTGAAGTCGTATGCTCATCTGAATAATGCTGATCAAACAGTTTTGACTTATGTTCAGATGAAAGGCTATTTTTTTAAACAAATTGTGATTTATTCATACTCCTCAGCAATAAAAAAGAATAAACAGTGCATGCACAACCAATATACAGAAATCAGTAACATTTCCACACACTAATGGTGAAAACACAGAAAGAGAAATTTAAAAAACAACCCCATTCATAATTGCACCCAAAAGAATAAAATACCTAGGAACAAACTTAACTAAAGATGTGAAAGACCGTACTCTGAAAACTATAAAACATTGATGAAAGAAACTGAAGATACACAAACAAATGTAATAATATTCCACACTCATGGACTGGAAGAATTAAGATTGTTAAAATATTGTTTTAACTTTATTGAATTATAATAATTGAATTATATTGAATATTGTTAAAATGTCTATATTACCCAAAGTATTCTACAGATTCAATGCCATCCCTATCAAAATACCAACAGCGTTTTTCACAGAACTAGACCAAATGGAGGACCCTGAATGACGCAAGCAATCCTGAGAAAGAAGAACAAAGTTGGAGGTATCAGATTTTTAAGATGTACCACTAAGCTGTAGCAGTCAAAACAATATGGTACTGACACAAAAATAGACGCATAGATCAATGGAACTGAATAGAGAGCCCAGAAATAAACCCATACAGACACGGTCAATTAATCTTTGACAAAGGAGGCAAGGATATACAGTGGGGAAAACAGCCCTTTTAATAAACGGTGCCGGGAAAACAGCTCCATGTAGGAGAATGAAACTGGACCACTTTCTAACACCATACACAAAAATAAGCTCAAAATGGATAAAGACCTGAAGGTGAGACCTGAAACCATAAAAATCCTAAAGAGAACACAAGCAGTAATTTCTCTGACATTGACCTTAGCAACATGTTTCTAGATGTTTCCTTAAGGCAAGGGAAACAAAAGCAAAAAGAAACCATAGTGACCACACCAAAATAAAGCTTTTCCTCAGTGAAGGAAACCATCCACAGAATAAGAAGACAACCTACCGAATGGGAGAAGATACTTGCAAATGATATGTCTGAGAAGGGGTTAATATCTAAAACATAGAAAGGTTAATTTTAAAATCCTAACATGTCATCAGTGTATTTAAGCCATAGTAATGACTGCAGATTTAAGATAAATTATGACAGAACAGTATTTGCCATCAAATACTATGATTGGAATAGTGTAATTCCTAACCCCAAAATAATATTATCCAGGTGAAATTTAATAACAAGGTATGTCTTGCATTAAAAAAAAAAAATTGTTGAACCATTCCTAAAATGAATTTCCATTAAAGACACTTATTTGCTAAAATAAAACTATTCTTAATCTTACAAATAAAATCCACCTGAGGGAAAGAAATATTGTTGTTATTTACATTTTACTCATATAAATACATGCCTATAATACATCCTCCCACATAGTCCTGATCATATGGAAGCCAAAAAATTAAGCATGTTTTTATATCTTCTGTTTTTATAAACATACAGAATACAGTTTTAATAGCTGTTTCCATGCACTGTTTTCTAACATTTCTGTCACTTATGCATCGGCTTTGACTGATTTTTTCCCATCCTATTGGGTTGCATTTTCCTGTCCCTTTGCATGCTTGCTAATTTTTTTTAAGATTTTATTTATTATTTATTTGACAGACAGAGATCACAAGCAGGCAGAGAGGCAGGCAGAGAGAGAGGAGGAAGCAGGCTCCCTGCTGAGCAGAGGGCCCCATGCGGGCCTCAATCCCAGGACTCTGCGATCATGACCAGAGCTGAAGGCAGAGGCTTCAACCCACTGAGCCACCCAGGCGCCCCTGCATGCTTGCTAACTTTGACCTGATGATGTCTGACACAGTGCATCTTACCTTGCTGGTTGCTGATGTATTCTTACTCCTGTAAATTTTCTTGAGCTTTATTCTTGGATGCAGTCAAATTACCTGGAAACAGTTTGGTCCTTTCAGGTGTTGCTGAAGATAAATTAGAAAGGACCAGAACAGTGCTCATGTAGAGCTAATTATTCACCACTACTGAGGGAAGACCTTTCTGTGGGCTCCATCCAATGCAGCATGAATCTTGAGACGTTCCAGTCCGTGTAGTTTGAACAAGCACTACTCTCAGCCCCATGCAAGCATGGGCACTGTTACCTCTGATCCCCTCAGGTAGTGGTTCTTTTCCCCCCTTTGCAAAATTTTCTCCCTATAGGTGCTGATTAGGACTTGACTATATACTAGTGGGGAACACATTCAGATCTTCAGAGTTCTACCTCTGCGTAGTTCTCTTGTCACTTACAGTTCTGTGAACTCTGGCTACCTTCATCTCTCAGACGCTCCGCTCAGGTTTCTCCACTCTGAATGTCTGTCAGGCTCAGCCTGGTTGCCCTTCCCTGAGATGCAGGCTAAAAACCCCCAAGCAGCTCACTTCATTTGTTTCTTATCTCTTTAGGGCTCCCTATCCTTCACCACCAGATACCTGGTATTTCGCAAACCACTGTTTCCTATATTTTGTCCATTTCTGGTTGTTTTAAGTCAGGAGGGTACATCAGTCTCTGTTGTTCCATCTTGGGTAAGAGCAGAAGTTTATTTAATTTGGTTTTGCTAAGAACATATGGTAGTTTAGAAACTTGGATTTATAGGCATGTTACTCCGTAACATGACTTAGAATTTTCTACAGCAAGTCAGCTTTCCCTAAATAGCTTTCTGTACACATTTACTTGGATCTGTGGAAGTTAGGCAGTAGTGAAATGTTCAGTGTAAAGACCCTGACAGTACTCTTAATTTAAAAAAAAAAAAATTCATACTTCCATAAGATACTAAATCTCCTTGAATATGTTCTTGTAACATATGATATCATATACAAAAAAGAGACATTTAAGGTTAAGCATCACTTAGAGCTCAAAATATATATATATCCTGTTCATCTCACTCCTAGAACAATCTGAATTTCTTTGTTCATTAAAAGCTGGCTGAGCCAAGAGGTACTGTAAATGTGTTTACAGAAAAAAACGGTGTTCCAAGGGTAGGCCCCTCTCAAAAAAGCTGCTTGTTACTTAACACAAACATGGAGGAAAAAAAAAATTCAAAACCTTAGCAAACACAGGTATCACCGTACAGTCCAAAGAACACAATGTTTGAAATATTCACTGAAAATGTTTTGCACTGAGTTTTGTAAAGAATTATAAACTAGATTTAAAAAAAAAAATCATATGTAGATGAGAGAAAACTGGGGGCGAATGGCAGGAAGTCATGTTTCAGCAGTGAAGGCAAGAAATAAATCCTTCAAATCAGGGTTCACTGTGGGACATTTCCTAAAATCAACAACACGGGCTCCAACGAGCGGGACAAAACTGCTCACTCAAAAAAGAAATCTCATCCACAGGAAAGTGAGACCTTTTTGCATTTTTAGCTCAAGAAATCTAAAAACTGGGGTTACACGCAAACAATGAATCAGGGAACACTTACATCAAAACCCAATGATGTACTGTGTGGTGACTAATATAACACAATTAAAAAAAAAGAAATTAACATTTATACACTCAGCTCACATCGAGGAGTGGCATATTTGATGGGTTAACACAGATGTAGTGAGAACATTTCACCACTGACTGTCATCGAAGTCAATATTTTCTTCAAGTATTGGATGGGAAATCCAGACCAGTCTGTTTCTAAGTGAGGGTGAGCTGATTTCATCTCAACTCATTCAGGAGTTCTGAAGATCTACTAGATGGATGATACAAAAAGAAGCTTCACAAATGGAAATACTAGGATTAAACGCAATTACCGACATTCCTTTTCTGGCTCATTCCCCCTGCACTTGATTTCTTTACTCTCCTCCTCCCTTGCTTGCACCCATCTATTTCCAGACATTTCTTGAGCACATCTGTGGCACGGAATCTTACCTCGCTTCTGAGAATAGAAAGTGGTTAATCCCAGCTCCTGTCACTGAGGTGGTCACAGTGTAATAGGGAAAGATAGATAAATGGATACTTTGATACAAGGTAAGTGTGTAACTGAAGTAGAACCAATGTACTCGACTAGAAGAAATGTAAGGCTATTTCAACAGAGGAGGTGACTTCTCAGCCGGATTTTAAAAAGACTCACCGAAGTCAGACATGTGGAGAAAGAGGGAGAGCCAGTCCAGGCAATGACACACGTGCAGACGACCTGACAAGGACCGACAGACGCGGATGGAATAGAACTCCAAAAAGGATGACACAGAAATAAGTGAAGATTTGCGTGGAGAGAAGCGGTCACTAAGGGAGACTGAAGCAAGATCATGAAGAACCTTAAATAATTCACACACAGGTTTGGAGCTGGGTTTGCTGGGGGTCGCTCTGCATCATGCCCGCTATCCTGGCATAAATATTAGGAATGTTTTCCTTCACCCTCAAATGTGGCCTCGTTTGAACAACCAAATCAAGTGGTCAGCTTACTTCTAGGTCTCTTGGGATCAGAATGTGATTTTTAGAAGGAGGACTAAAGTCTCCTTTGTGCACCTACGTTCAGTGATGCCAGAGGCACGGTAATAATAGGCCTTAATAGGCC